TTACTAAGAAAAGATCCTGGAGATGAGCTGTCACTGGGGGCCTGCGACACTCAGTAGCGTGCCCGAAGATTAACTTGACCCTGCCTCAAATCTGTCTTAAAGCAGAAAAGACTTCTAGTAAATTGATTTCCTGGAAAAAAGGGCCAGTCAACAGAAAACAGGACATAAAGAAAAGGGGACGAGCAGTAGGGACATGGTAGTGACAGTGACAGCAGAAGACCCAAAAGAGCTGCTGAGCAGAGCCAGGGAAGAGAAACGATCTTATTTTGAAAAACTACCCATTGGACTCGGTCACACTCTGACATCCAGAATCTCACAAGCAGCAACACATGCGTGTCCAAAAGTCTGACCAGCATTCAGGCAGGAAGATGAGGGCGGCCAGTGTCCTGCCTGGGATTCTTGCAGTGATGTAGAGAACAAGGTAGAGGTGCTATGTATTGGCAGAAACAGCAAACATGCTTTTAGAATGGATGAATAAGGTTCTCACATTTGAAGAGCTGGCCTCCAAACTGAAGAATTCCACTTCAGAATATTTCTAGAATACTTGTAATAAATCTGTATGCATTAATGGTAGCAGATACATAAATAGAGCATTGCTCCTTGTTAGCTTGCATTTAAAACCTTAACCTTTTACTCAGTTCAGCACTCCAGGACAACTGAGGAATCTAACAAAACACATATTGAATAGACTGGTGCAAGCTCGGTGCTTCCATCAGGCTGGGAAAAAAAAAGGCCTGAAAATCTGAGTTCTTGCCTTATATTCCCATAGTTGCCCAATTATGAAGCATCTCTTGCAAAGGGGAAAAGCTCTCCTTTCCTCTCCTCCTCCCGGCAGGGCAACAGAAGAGAAATTCCACCAGGAAATCCAACACAGACTTGTATTTGCTCAAATTCCTCCCAGGGAAGTGCTTGCTGCCACTGAAAAAAACAAAGACAGTTCTAAGACAATGTATTATTCGTGCACGGTAGAGGTATTGCTTCACATTGGATATGTTCAGAGTTTAGCACTAATAGATAAAATATTTGTCTGTTCTTTGTCCTATTAGGAGACATTTTCAGAGCAGATTTCCACCTGTCATGAATACCATTATCCTGGTTCCTGGTATTATTCCTGGTTCCCAGAGTGGAGGAAAAGCTTGCTCATGACCGTTGACTGGGGCATATCCAGACAGTCAATCTTTCCCCTGCAGATTTCTTGCCATGGGAGAAGACAATGGTGAAACCAGTGACCCTTCCTCTCCTCCTGAGCCAGCGGCTGGTGTTCTCACCCGCAGTGTTTGTCCCCCCGTCCCTAGGATGCTGGCAGGGTCCCTGCAGGGCTCGCGGGTATCCTACTCACGTGCAGAAGCACCCACCTCTGCCGGGCAGTGGCCCAGGCAGGTTGCCTTTCGCGTTCAAGGCTCCCCCATTGCTGCGGATCCAACTCCAGAGGTGGGTGCAAAGGTTTGCGGGACAGCAGAGAGCAGCAGAGAGCTACAGACCTGCACAGGCTGCAGCCGCAGCAGCCTCCAGCCTCCTGCGCCTAATGCATGAAGAGAAAACAACATATAAAGAACAAGGCAGCTGGGAAGCCATACGAACTGAGTTGAGATTGGAAGAGATTATGTCTGAAAGGGAAACAATCTGTGCCTAGCACGCTGCTCCTACCAGCTGCACAACAGCACCTCTCTTTCAGCCTGCAAAGGCCCGAACTGATGTTGTCTTTGTGGTTTTCCTGAATTAAGAGGATTTGATTTGATTTTGAGTTCTTTTCCACTGACCATGCAAGTAGTTTTGCTCATGTGAATGAACACATAAATCCTGTTTATATCATGTAAGTTTCAGAATATACTAAGAGGAAACTTCCTTAGTTTCCTGGAAAGAAACTTTCTTCCAGGAAGTTTTCTGGAAGACAAACTGCCTTGAGTTGATGCCGTGAGCAGAACGAGTTGGATCACAGACAGATCCTCCTTGCCACCAGGATGCCTCCCTGCAAAGCTGCCAGCGCTCCTCCTTCCCTGACTGTAACGTGCCTGCTACAGAAAGGCACAAATGAAACACATTTCAACCTGCAGAAGGCACCTGCATCCTGCGGTTAAGTAAACAAAACATTAGCCATCCCCTGGCTAAACAAATTGTTAATTTATTTGTCTTCATTAGATTAATTCCCAGCAGAAGGTCAGTATCTGCTTTCAAATGGCAACTTTTATATTTACAGAACCCCTGCTGTCTGCTCTGGTGACATTACAATCCCAGTCAATATTTTTAAAAATAATTAATTATTATCTATTTTAAGGCTCTGTGCCATTAATTTTGGCACCGTCAAGGCCACAGCTTGTGCTTTCGCAATCAGATATGCCCGCGTTTGAAACCCAAGCCCAGCGTTTATCTGCTTTGCATAGTTTTGTGCAAGAATCGTCGCAATCAAACGCCAGAACACGGTGTTCAGTTGCCACACGCGCAGCGCAGTGCAGGTCACAGCACAGAGCTGGTGCCACAGGGCGCGGGGTGACCGCAGCGAGCAGCAGCCGGCCCCTCCTCGCCTCCCTCCCTGTTTTCCGTGTTCGTTTCCACCGCGAGGCTCCAACCCTGCTCGCAGAGGTCTGGGGGGGCTCTGCGCTGGGAAGCACCCTTCTGTGGCCGAGGGCGCACGCTGAGCCCCCCACGTCACTTCCCTGCCCCCCTTTCCCCACGGTCGCGCCCCGCTGTTCCTGACACCCGCGGCCTGCCGGTGCCGAGTTAACGTCTCCGCAGGCGGCAGGCAGCGCAGCCACCCAGGCTTTAGTGCAGGGCCGGCCACGAGCCGCGCACACGGCAGGGGCAGTGACCAACGTGCCAGCCCCTCCGGCCGCCCTGGCCGCCGCGCTCCCGCCGCCCCTCACAGGGCAACGGCCGCAACGGCCGCAACGGCCGCGCGCCGGGCGGGGCGGGGCGGGGCGGGGCGGAGCGGAGCGGCGGCCAATGAGGCGCGCGCGGCCCCTGACGTCAGGGCCGGGCGGCCCCGGCGGCGCCGCGCAGGGCGGTTAGCGCGTCTGCAGGCGTCGCCGTTCGGGCCGTCCCGCGCTCCGGCCCCGTCCCGCGCTCCGGCCTCCGGCCCCGTTCGGCCTCCGGCCCCGTTCGGCCTCCGGCCCCGTTCGGCCTCCGGCTCCGTTCGGCCTCCGGCCCGCCTCGCGCTCCGGCCTCCGGTCCCGTTCGGCCTCCGGCTCCGGCGCGGGCAGGCCGGGCCATGTCGCGCCTCAGCCCGCAGGAGGAGAACCTGCAGGGTGAGTAGCGGCCGGCGCGGGGCGGCCTCCGGCGGGGCTGCGAGGCCCCGCGGGCGCTCCCTGAGGGGCGGTCGTTGCCCCCGGGGCCGGCGCTGATCCGAAGCCGCGGCCCAGGCCCGGCCTGCTGCCCGGCCTCGGCGCGGGGCTTGGCCGCGGGCCCGCCCGGGGAGCTGCCACGGAGCTCCCGGAGCAGAGCGGGGCGAAGGGGGAGCCCGTCAGGCCTGCAGAGCGCCGTGGTGTCCGTCCTGCAGATTAGATTGCGGCCAGGTTAGCCTAAGTCCTCATCAAGTGTCAGCACATCCCCCTCTTCCCCTCCCTTTCCCCCCAGATATGTATTTTTGTGCATCTATCTGTGCACACCGGTGCAGAACTTCCTTGTTTCCAAGAGAAAAGCCTCTCTTGACAGTTTGGGATGTGTGTGGAAGGAAGCCCTGGGCGCTCTGCGTGTCTCCCGTGCTCCGCAAGCCAATTTACAGCAGGGGAGGAAAGGGCCGGTGCGGCTGCCTGCTGAGCCAGGCTTTGCTCGCGGCTCAGCGGGTCGGAGGCGGGTCTGGCTGCCGCTCGGCTCTGCGGGGTGCGTGTCTTTGTTGTTTCTGACACCCAAGTCTCCATTTTTGAAAGCTGCCCACTAAGGGGGAAGGGTTTCCAGAAGTCACCCAGGGTCATTTTGTATGCTGCTGTGTCCTCGCTCGGCACGTACGCCACGCGAGCACATCCAGTAACGTCATCCTGGCCCGCGGGCCCTCCCCGCGACTCGCTGTGTTTAGTTTGCGTTGCCACATTAGCCGTGCTCGTACTGGTTTATATTTCTGACTTTATGAGAGCATAGGCTATCTTTAAGTCATAGCATAAACAGCCGCCCAGTACAGCAGCACAACTGCAGTCACAAGAGTGTCTGAAAGAAAAGAAAAAAATGGAAACATGTTAAACCTGCAGGTACTTTATGGTTCTTCTGTTCTAAAGTTTCTTTTCTCCCTCTTTTATTAACTGTGCTGTATCCCGACAGAGTTCAGTAGCGTGGATTTGCTGTACGAGGCTGTTATGTATGCCGGTAGTGACGATACTTGTTGCAAAGTGATGTGCGAAGTGCACCTTGGATCATAGGCCTCTCTGCAGGAAAAATAGCTTATAGCCCTGTACAGAAATCACCGTAGGGCAGCGCGGGTAGCCCGACAGCATGTGGAGGAGCAGAAGCAGGGGTAGGATGGGGGGATCCGCAGGGCCGGCGCGGAGGGGCTCTCCAGTGGCTGCCGCTCAGGCTCCAGCCACTTCCCTGAGGGAAACGGGATTTTCCATCCGCTTCTGCCAGCTCCGGATTTGCGGTGGGGAACAGCTTGTCTAGATGTATGTAAACAAACAGATAATCAGGCATTTAAAAAGCTGTTAAGTGGAAGAGGGATTATGCAGAAAAATGTTTTATCAGAAGTTAGTAAGCTGGAAATGTTTCCACTAAAAAACAGAAGACTGTGATAACTTCTGAAGATGAAAAAAAAACTTAATGGAAATTGAGTAACTTGATTCTTGCTCTTCTAGTTGTATTTTCAAATCTTAAATCTATTCACAACCAGAGAACCTTTCTGCTTTTAAGGTTTTATGTGGCAGTAAATCTGCTCATTAGCGTCTCTCCTTTATTCCTTGTTTTATGGAACTTAACTTGCTTTTCGAGGTCTGCCCTAGTTGGTGTTTCAAGTCTAATTCCTTCCAACACGGGAGCAGAAACATTCCCAACACGAAGGTCTCTCTCCTCCCCTTCCTGTTTATGTTCTAGACAGCCCTGCTGCTGCATTAACAAAATTCAGATCATTCCACCCGCCTTCCTTCTCCTGGTGTTTAGTGCTGTATTTCTATTCAGATTTTTGAGCTTTGAAACATGTCATACAATGGGAATGATACTTGTACCTGCTTCTGCCTATGTCTGTTAGATCTCACATGTGCTAACTTTTGTATAGGTAAATTCTATTGCTGTTTATATAGTAGTGTAAATAATACCTGTGAGCTAATTTTAGAAATGCTAAGACAGATATGGGTTCTTCTGTGCGTTGGTAACTGCTAGCCCTGCAGGGTTGTTATTCAGAATGCTTTAAGACAACAAAGCAACACGTGACTGTCAGTGTTAAATATACTGCAAAGAGCAACACATGATCCAGTCATTGCCACATACCCTCTATTGCCTAACAATAACACCTAAAAATATGCTTGGTGAAGAGGCTAAACAAAACACAGTTAGACTGGAGTCTTGATCTGAAAATGTTTTGAGTAAATTAATCACTCAACTTTGGCAGAGTACGTCAGTCCTTGAGATTAGATTCTTGGCCTAGCACCTGTGCTGAACAATAACAATTATGTATATCTTTATGAGTTAAAATAAAAGATTTGTAGTTTCAGAAACAGACACAGCATATGACCAGCTTCTTTTCAGTCCTGCGAGACTTCCCAGCTTGCTGACAAATGCACCCCCACACTTTGGCAATGCAGCATGTTCGTTAGCCAAGATATCAGAGCCAGTGCTTCTGGACATGGTACCGTAATATCACCCGGGGGAGGATCAGGAGTCTCGTGTTCTGGATGCCTTTTATGTAGCAGCACTTGCTTTACTGCAGTTCTCTTTTCAATGGTGACGCGCAGGTTCCTGGGTAGAGCTCCACTTCAGCAGTAACGGCAGCGGTAGCGGCAGCGCCGCGACGTCGACAAGCCAGGAGCAGGTGCCGGCCTCTCTTTCCATTCACAATGGCGACATGGAGAAAATCCTCCTGGATGCTCAACACGAATCTGGGCGAAGCAGCTCCAGGGAAAGTTCACACTGTGACAGGTAGACTTGAAATGCTTTGTGAAAAGCAATGCAGAGCTCACTATTACACAAAGCGATTTTTTTGTGCACAAGAAGCAAAGAAAAATACAGAGATGTATGCACACATCTGAGTATGTGAGTATGCAAATGCATACACATGCACAGGGGAGGAGACAGGAAAAATTCCCATTTAAATGATGGATAATAGTGGGTTTTGAATTGAAGTAGCTGGATGAAATATGGAGTTTCTGCATCCTAGTGTGCTTTCCATGTATCTTGTGGTTTCTGTGCCTAAATAAGGTTTAGGCTATTCTGTTTATTACTCGGTCATGCCCAACTAACAGTCTCATAGGTCTGTCTTTGCACTACTGGAAACCAGCTCTGTGCAGGGAGGTTCTCGGCAGATCCAGTTAGGAAATCAAAGATTAACTGCATATGATGGATGAATCATAGTGCCAGATATGATCCTCTTAGGGATTATAGGTCAGGGCACAATAGCTCCTTCAGGAGGGCAGCACTTCAACGTCATCCACTAGCTTTTATTTCATCCCATAAAGCATATCGTCATGAAAAATATAATAAACTCTCGTATTTCTGCTTCTCTTTATCAAGCCCTCCTCGTTCACAGACGCCTCAAGACAGTAACAGAGCTTTGGAAATAGAGAGTCATAGCAGTGGAGAAAAGAACAGCTTTCAGGTAAGAAGCTCACCATGCTTTTGAGAATGAATCTGTTACTACTGTAGTTCAAAAACTACTATTGGAAACTAAAGGATGAGGTTGATAATGCAAAAACTCAAGCAAGTGAGTAACTTTAGTAACCTCGAATAAGCTCAGCACGTTCAGGTTTTATGGGAATTTTTAAGATTGTGGCTTGCATGGGCTTTTTTTTTTTTGCCTTTAATATGTAACTTGAGGTTTTCAAAGGGATTTAGATGCCCTAACCTATTGCTTGTTTTTGAATCCTGGTTCTCAGTGCCTCTTTCCAGCAATAAATCAAAATGTTCATCTTCAGAACCTATAATAGATTTAGGAGAAAGGTAAGTCAGAAGATAACCACTAAGCTAGAATTGAAGAAGCAGGACTCAGCAGGACTTCAGCTGAGAATCCATCTTTCTGTGATTTTTGAATCCTGTTGTGTATCACCATTGCCCTGTGAAATGGGTGTTTTCTTCCTTCTGAAGAGGTCAAATGTGAGTCAGATTTTACATGGGGCCATACAGAGAGCCTGTCAATGAGGCATGTACACGCATGGCTACATGAACACTCATGTTCTGCAGATAACCTGCTCTGCAGAAGTGTCCTCTTCCTCCTGTGTCTGTCTGCTTGAGGTAGTTTCCACAAGGAAACTTTACTTGCTTTAAATTTGCTGCCATAGGTTGATCATGAATTAAAAAATAAAGTTGACAGCAGCAAGAATTTCTAGTCACTTAAACATAACAGCCAATAAAATATGTTTTCAAAGCAGCACAGTAGCTTTATAATTCCAGTTCATTTTATTAACTAGTACCTAACAAGACATTTCTACATCTGCTTTGAAAATTCATAATTATTTTCAGTTTAATTCTGTACAACTTTCATTCAAACCCTTGCAAAGAAAACTAGTTAATTGCACATTAACAAAAGTGCCTATTAACCACATTTCATAAATATATAGCTTATTGAATTGCAAGCGGCTAAATTCTTAAGTTTACGCAGTATTAGATACCAGCTTTAATGTTAAATTTTTTTAATTACAAAACATTTTGCATTTTGAGGACAGGAGTATTAGAATGGCTTTAGATAAATCTCCCTCTTCTGATGACTTCCTGTATTAGATAAAATGCTCTCCCTGTGCTGTTTCTGTACAAAGAGATTATTTTGTCTATAAATGGAAATGTATTCTGCAGCTGTGAGCGCTTATTGCAAGGTTAGCAAATAGCAATCAGATCATATTTACTTGCAGCCTCCATCTCAAAGAGAAAAGTATGACATAACAGCAGAGATGCCGGGCGATGGTTGTGCTCTGGTGTGCAGCGTTGTCCCTTTGGCTCTTGTAAGAAGCGGGCGCCTTCCGGCCTTGTTTCTCAAGGGCCGTTTCCCGCGGCAGCGCCCTGGGTCTGTGCGGGCTGCGGGGCCAGCGCTCCCGGCCACCTCCCGCGCGGGCTCTCTCTGCTTGTGGATTCCTTCTCTTCCCAGCATTACCAGCTTTCTTAAAGAAAGGTCTTCATGTTCAGCAGCATTTCACCAGTGCTGGGGTTCCCAGTGTTCTAATTAGAGTTTCTGATTATCCTGTGTAGATAAATAAGACAGATAATCCATAGTTTATTTAGTTCTCCATAGTTACATATAACATTCTTGGTCCACCAACTTCTTCCTTTCCTATCTAAAACTCATCAGCAGCTCCTATAGGAATCTTAACTGAATGAATTATTAGCTGTAACTAAATACATACACTGTGAATTAATTGTTTTTATGTTATGTTACACTGTTATATTTTATGTTAACGGAAAACCTGTCATGTACTAAAGATCATTACTTAGAATGTGGGATCAAATAATTAAAAGTAAGAAAAATGCCAGAAAAGTGTTAGCATTGTTTGGGCAATTTTACTTCCATTCTTAAGCGTACCTGTGTATATGTAATTATTTAAATCTCACATCCATATATTATTTTTATCGCAAAGCTTTGACTCAATGTAAAGCACATGTAGGAAGCTGCAGTTTGCTCTCATTTGGTACTTGTACTGCTGTACTCCCTTGAAAATGAAGCCACTGCTGTATTACAGACAGACCTGGACTGTCTTCAGTTGTCATACAAGCTTCCTTGTCTTATTTTGCATAATAACTGCTAGCCATAAGAGTTTATGGTGCGGTGTGTGATAATGTTTCTTTGGTTTAGTCTGAGGAAGATTTTCTTGAAAGGCGGAGGGAAGTCGAAAGGCTCCTGAAGAAAAATGCAGATTGGATATGGGACTGGTCCAGCAGGCCTGAGAACATCCCACCAAAGTGAGTGCTGCCACTGTGTCCCAATGAACTTGGCTCTGGCTCTTCAGTGGTTTCAGGACACTTTCATTAAATGCTCTGCTTATATTTTCTTCCTTGAAACTAGGGAATTCCTCTTTAAACATCCCAGGCGCACAGCCACTCTCAGCATGAGAAACACAAGCGTGATGAAGAAAGGGGGCATATTTTCAGCAGAATTCTTGAAAGTTGTCCTTCCATCTCTGCTACTTTCCCATTTGCTTGCCATTGGACTAGGGTAAGTTTATACTTAAAACAGAAGCATTTTTTCACTCTGAGACCTAATTTCCACTCCAGCTTTCCTTTTTGTCTAAGAGATAAGTGTTACATAGCTCAGGAAACTGAACAGGAAGTCTTTCTTCCCTGCTTTTCTTGCTAGTTGAGAACTTCTCAAAAGACAATTTACAATGTATGTATGTAATTATATACTTCAGAACAATAATTACACACACATAATATTTGGCTGTATGGGAGGATTGATTTTATTTCTCAAAAAAAGGAAGAAATGATTATTGCTTTAAAATTCCTCATGCAGAGGGGGAACTCACAAGCAAAACAGGAAATGATTTCCCTTAGATGATTAAGGGTTCAGATTATCCTTCTCCTTTAAAAATATTTACAGGACACACTGTGAAGAGATTGCCAGTATGTAAGCATGGCAGATTCCTAGGTACCCACAAAGCACAGTGCTTTGTGCCCAGGCAAATCTGTGCAATTTTCTTTGTCTTTTTGGAAAATAAATGAAGTTGTTTATTAGTTAAGGCACACAAGCTAATTCCAGTTTGACGCACAAAATGAAAAATCGTTGTGTTCTTGGAAGTTTGGTAAAGACTGGGATCAGATGCAACGCAGGCATGCCAATTTTGCATGACTCTCAGTCCGAGCTTTTCAGTATTGTTTCTTAACTATAGTTTTCTCATGCTTTTTCTTTCCATACATAGTTTGGTAGGCTGGTAGGGCGAAACAATGTGCAGAAAAATCACTTCTAAAGAACATGTTATTGTTGTTTGTGTTTTTGTTATCATGGACACGGCTTTGAAAGAGTAGACAGGACTGTGCAGCTACAGGGACTGGAAAGAGGGACAGCCCCGTTCTCATCGCTTAGGATGCAGAACGGGGGGGCATGAAGGCAGGTGATCTGCCTGTGCAAAAAGCATCTGCATAATTCCATAAGAGCAGCATGAAATTCCACTTTACCTCCTTTCGAAATGAAGACGAGCAACTGCATGACATAGAAAAGTTCCAGAATGTTTTCAGTCTTTCACAATGAAGCACATTTTGAGACATAAGCACTTAATTACTTTCTGGTGTCTTTCACCACGGCTGCATGCCTGCTCCATTACAATTCAGTGCAGAATAGCTAACAATTTCTTCATATAGTGCTTAATGTAAGAGCAATTTAAGTAGCTATGCTTCAAAATAGTGATTTCTGCAGGAAGTAAATGAATATAAGACTTTAAATAGAGGGTAAAATAGAGGTAAAAGCATACCAAGATGGAAGTAACTGAAGAAATAAAAAAGATGACACTTTTCTGCCATCAGTATCAGCTGATACTGCAGGTGACAGTGAAGTGAGGTGTTTCAAAGTGTTAGTGTTAGCGAAGAGCACTGAGCAAGGCAGTGTGGAGGCAGGGGCCCTTGGTGGTGGCTCGCGCGTTCCCGCAGCCGGGCGCGCGGGGCGGCCCAGCTCTCCCCCGGCCGGTCTCTCCCAGCACACACGGAGCGGAGCGGCCCAGGGATACGCACCATGGCGTAAGCCTCTGGAACAGCGCTTTGATACACACTTGGTTTGCTGCTTCTACTGCAAATTGCATAACTGGTAACATGATGAGAGGGAAAAAGTGTTCCTTATGCGCTGTGCATCCCTTTGCACGTGAAATGCGGCCCTCACCGAGCACACGTTCTTGACCCACAGGATTTACATAGGGAGGCGGCTGACAACCACAGCTTCCAGCAGCACCTTCTGAGGGGAGGCGACAGCGGCTTCCTGCGGCGGCAGCGCTCACCGAGGCTGCGGGAGGAGCCGCAGAGCGCCGGGGCCCGCAGGGCTGCGAGCAACGCGGGCGGCTGCTCTGTAAATGCTGCGTTCCCAGGTTAGCAAGCGGAGGTGCTAAAGCTACCGTGTCACGCACAGATCAATTCGTAGAGCATGTTTCAGACAACTGACAGCTGTGACATAGCTTTGTAGTGAAATATCCTCAAAAAGCTCCGTGTTTAAAAACGACACCCTAGCGCTCATACAGCAATCGTTACCCGGCTAGATCTTACCTGAACTGCTGTTTCTTTCTACTACATAGGTGTGAATATTCTTCACTGCTAATGTAATCATGACAATAAGGGACTAGTCCAAAAGAATGTGTGGCCTTATGTAATATAGACAGTAATTCAGAGAAAGCTTTTACCTCATTTGAGGCAACTCACTTAGCTGTTTGTTTTTTTTCATTTTATGCAAGATATTAAATGTTAAAAGACATGATCAGCTTGAAGAAATCAGCCTATCAGTACATTGTCATCAATTTCTATTTAGTTCAGGATATGATCCACAACAGCCTAAGCTAAAATCTGAACCTTAGCATCCAGTGGTGTTCTTTGTTGGCAAAGGCTGTTATTTAACTCCCAACTTAGAGCTCTAAGTTTCTGTTGTTTCTTCTTGCAGCCCACTGCTTCTCAGTCCTTTTACCTGTAAAATAATAACTTTGCATCTTAACTTGCCTCATTGCTGTATAGATTTGAAAAGGTTTGCTTGCTTATTTGGTTGCATTAAAGAATGCATTTTCATTCAATAATTTTATCTTGTTTAATGAAAAATGGATGTTTGCCGAATAAGTTTTATATGTTTAAATAAAAAGGTTCCTCATGGATTCGGACTTTTCTGCTTCCTTTTCTCTAAGCGTTTAAAAATACTGGCCAAGAGCAGCATTGGTCAGGGCTCACTGTGTGACAGCTGTAGCCCTCCAGCACGGGGACAGTTGCACACCGAGTTTATCTGCATGACTGCAAATCAGTAAGACGTTTTTACAGGAAACAATTTTGATTGCTAATTCTTAAACTGGAATAAAGCAATCAATTGAAGGTAAATAGATTTCAGTGAGCTTTGAGATAGATATTTACTTTGTACCAGTGTCATCATTTAAATAAATAAAATATTTATTTTTATTTGTTTGTTACGGCAAGCCCCGAGTTTTGCTCTGTGCTCGGAACAGCACCGCGGCGTCCGTTCAAGGCCGGTTTCTTGGCTGCGGCCGCTGCGGCCGTGGGCAGGGCTGAGGGCGCCTGGTTGGAGCCGAGGCCGCGGGCACCGGGCGCGCGGGGCCTGGCCGGAGCCATCCGGGCCCCGCGCCCCGACACGGGCGGCGCCCCCGGAGCCGATCCCTGCGCGGGCTCTAGGGCCGCGGGTGTCTTAACTGCTCCATTTACTTGATTTCTAAGTGGTCTTAACCAAAACTGCAGTAGAAGTGAGTCATTTAAAAAAAATAGTCCATGTTCCTTCAAAGTAATACTAAATACATATTGATATATGAGTGGAGTTAGATCAGCTTCTTCCTCCCCATTGATAAAAGGGTGTGTGTGTGTGTGTGTGTTTGTTTAAATCCTGCTATTGTGACCAACCTTCTTCTAGGTGAGGACTAAATTGCCTCAGCTGGAGCTTCTTGTCTGCTTGCAGTAAGAGGCGTTTGCAGATGTTGAACTCTTTTCAGGTGCCGCACACCAAGCCAGGCCTGCAGAGGTAGTTGTGCATTTAAACTTCGTCTACCCAAAGAACAGAAAGCCGGCGGCAGCAAGAAGGCAGAGGTGCTAATGATGGAGCTCATACCTGGAGCTCTTGGTCCTTACAATCCGTGTGTGAGACACAATCACTTCATTTACCCCCATTTTTAGATATGTCATTCAGACAACCTAGCAGTCAATATATTATCTGCTCTATTTATATGGCATGCCAAAGGTGGCTATGACTATTGCTCATTTCAGAACAATGCTGTATAACACTTAAAAATGCTCATATGAGCCCTGTTACCAATCCCTGGCCACCCCAGGCCGGCATGTGGGGCATTTGAAGGAGCATGTGGATCACAGCCCCCCACGTCAGCTTTCCCAGTGACGCAGGAGCGATTTTGCACGTAGGAAAATGTTGCTCAGTGTCGCCCTGCAAATCCCAGGCAGGTGCAGGGGGGCTGCTGGCACCGAGCGCCCACAGGCCTTGCGACAGGGCTGATTGGAGCTGGGCTAAAGGCCGGACAGAAGGGCGGGGGCAGCTACGTCCTCCTCCCCACGGCAGGGGAGCCCAGTGTGGGGCTGGGGACAGACCCCCAACCCAGCTGCGTGGCACCAGGATGGGAGGCCCCAGCGCAGGCAGCGCACGGGGGCCTGGTCGGGCAGACCAGCTACTATTTCAGAATATTTCAGAATATTTAAGGTTGGAAGGGACCTCTACAGATCATCTAGTCCAACCTTCCTGCTCAAGCAGGCACACCTAGAGCATGTGGCACAGGGTGGCATCCAGGCGGGTTTTGAAGACCTCCAGAGTAGGAGACTCCACAACCTCCCTGGGCAGCCTGTTCCACTGCTCTGTCACCCTAACAGTAAAGAAGTTGCTCCTCACCTGGAGACGGAACTTCTTGTGCTTCAGCTTGTGGCCATTACCCCTCGTCCTATCGCTGGCCACCAGTGAAAACAGCTTGTCCCCTTCCTCCCTGCATTCTCCCTTCCTGAACTTATACATATTAATCATATCCCCTCTGAGCCGTCTCTTCTCCAGAGAAAACAGGCCCAGCTCACTCAGCCTCTCTTCATACGAGAGATGTTCCATTCCCTTAATCATCCTGGTTGCCCTCCTCTGGACCCTCTCCAGAAGCTCCACGTCCTTCCTATACTGGGGTGCCCAGAACTGAACACAGTACTCCAGGTAAACTCCAGCTACACTTGTGTTTTAAATGGTCTTACACACAAGCTAAGCAAGGACCCTGCAAAACTCCGTAAAACATTAAACTACTCCTCAGGCTTGCAGAAACCCTGAACAACTGGGTATTAATCAGTGCTACCACCCTGGCACTAACACTGGTTAGGAGTTTCAGGAGCTTACCTGCAAATCCTAGTACAGGCAAGTTCCATCTCACAGAATGACAGAATGGTTGAGGTTGGAAGGGACCTCTAGAGATCATCTAGTCCAACCTTCCTGCTCCAGCAGGAATACCCAGAGCACGGGGCACAGGGTGGCATCCAGACGGGTTTGGAAGACCTCCAGAGAAGGAGACTCCCCAGCCTCTCTGGGAAGCCTGTTCCCAGGGCTTGGACATCCTCGCAGTTAAGTTCCTCCTCACATGAAAATGGAGCTGCCCATGTTGAAGTTTGCACCCATTGCCCCTTATCCTGTCACTGGCCACCACTGAGAAGAGCCTGGCCCCTTCCTCCCTACATTCTCCCTTCAGGAACTTATACATGCTAATCAGATCCCCCTCAGCCTTCTCCAGGCTAAACAGGCCCAACTCATAGACTCATAGAATCACAGAATGCCGAAGGTTGGAAGGGACCTCAGAGGTCATCTAGTCCAACCCCCTGCTCACGCAGGGTCACCCAGAGCACGTGGCACAGGGCTGCATCCAAGCGGGTTTTAAAGATCTCCAGAGAAGGAGACTCCACAACTCACTCAGTTTCTCCTCATACCAGAGATGCTCCAGATCCGTCATCATTTTTGTCCCTCTCCACTGGACTCTCTCTTGAAGCTTCATATTCCTGTTGTCCTGGGGAGCCCAGAGCTGCCCCCAGTGCTCCAGGTTTGGCCTCCCCAGAGCTGAGCAGAGGGGCAGGATCCCCTCCCTGCCCTGCTGGCAACGTCCTCCTGATGCAGCCAGGAGCCCCTTGGCCTCCTTGGCCATGGGGGCACTGCTGCACACGGTTAACTCGGTGTCCAAGCCTGTGCCTCTTGTGCTCTCGACCTTTCTTCTCTCGCTGGAAGTTCCCACCTGTAGGACACATCTGCAAAGTGGGAGTTCCACATTTACACAGCTGCCAGAATGGGTAGGGACTTGAATGCTTTAGTAACAAATGCTGCTCATCTAATGCAACAGTCCTACTGCTGAGGTCACAGATTCTTCATTGATAAAATACACTATTTGATGGATATTTCACGGTCAAAGTATTTTAAGTACTCCAAGCGTGCTCTTTAAAACAAAATCAGGCCTATTTCAACTGGAAGGAACTTACACTGAGGTAGTTGCAAGTGATTTGTGTTACCTGTATTTCACTGATCTCTTACTGGTGGGTTTATGAGATAATTTTAGTTTGACCCAATATAGTTATTATGTAAATAACAAAATGAAAAACTCATGAAACAAACTATTTAATTGAAACAGTTACAGGCAAATCATGTTTTTTTTTTTTTTTTAAGTAATAGGACATTAAATCTTCTATTTCCTTCATATTCCACTTACATTTGCTGAAAAAAAAATCGACAGCACTGATCTATTCACTGAATATGAACAGACGGGTTTCTGAGTCAGAGCTGCGACCATTCCAAACTCAGCCATTCAAAAGGGAAATACAAATAATCTTCAGGTTGGCTCATCTAGCCAATTATCTCAAAAAAAAAAAAAAAGGAAAAATAAGAAACTGTCAGAATACACAGAGCAAGTCCAGGTAAACATTTAAAATTTATTAAACTTTTTGGTCAAAATAATTGAACAAGTATGTACAATCCCACTGTATTAGCTCTATTATGTATTTTAGGAACAAGGTCAAATCTAATGCTTTAATGACCCAGAAGTTCCACATTTCAAGATTTGCAAATAGTGTCACAACCAATATACAGTATAAGTTTTTCTTTTTAATTTAAACTTTATTTGTAGAACCTCAACATTAGTTGTACTCACTAGCTTACTGTGAACAAGAGTGGCACTCTATGGACATTAATTGAGAGGGTAGTAAGAGACATTTTGCTCTTGCATATGCATATCTGATTCGGAAATCATAATACACCTTCATTTCTTGAAAACGGAGTGTAAACCACACTTCTGAGTTTCCACTGGCAAGCTCAAGGGTCTGTCTTTCCATGACGAGTGCCTAACTTGCAGGCACATTTTAGGCTGTAACTTCAAGCGACCTGATGCTACCAGAACGTGCTGCGATCATTTCAGTAACAACTTTACACCTAGGCCAGTCTAGGGGGGAGAGAAGGCTGATGAATTTTAGGCCCCTTTGGAGGAAGAAAATAAATAAATTAAAAAAAAAGTACCTAAGGCTTTAAAAAAAAAGTTAGCAATAACAAAGATACAGTAACAAAGGCAGGAAACAAGAGCTTGTAGTCTCGGTATTTTCCAACCCCTTGGTCAGGGACCCCTAAAGTTAGAACAGGCTAAAATGTATTAATCTGTGTTGCTGCTTGGCATAATCAAAATAGGGCTTTTTTGCTGGATTGAACTGCAATGTTAAATACAATATATTATGCCAAAAATTTAAAATAAAGTACACCAAGACAAACACTAAAAAGGTTTAAAAAACATAATGCACGTAAGGTATGGCTCTACCACTGAGAGGCAGCAGAAACTGAGTTTTTTCTCTTCAAAGAAGAAATTGTTAATTTATTCCTTCTGTGCAAGGCGATTACCGTCTATTAAGGCTGTGCACATCTTTAGACTAACCTTTTCAAACTCCTATTTGGTATGCACATGGCATTTTACAAAGACCGTGCAACTTAAACTACGCAACAATTTTATGGAAACTAAATTTAGAATTTGAAATACTACACAAAAAAGTTCAATTAGTCTGCCAAA